AAACATAACAACAAGCTTTGAAATAGCTTTGAGTTGTTTTGAGCCTTCACTACGCCAAAAGTATGTAATTATAGGCCTACTAATCGAAAAACAAAAAGAGTCAAAAAGAAATGTCATTGACAACAAAATCGATTTTTTTTAAATATGATAATTTCAATCTCAAAACAACAGACGGGAAATACAACCTTTAGCATCACAAAACCTTTTAGAACTTTACTAAACCAACAACAGCGTTCACTAAAACAACAACACAAAACACAAAGCAAGACATCATTTGCTCTTAAAAATGCCAAAAAAATGTCAAAAAAATTCAAGTTCTCACAAGAACAGACGAGATAACATCCAATAGCATTTGACAAACTTTTAATTGTTCTCAAAATTTTACTAAACTACTTAACATAGTTAAACATCGATTCATTCGAAAACAAAAAAAAAGCCAATGGAAATAAATGTCATAAAGTTATCATTTTTTTGGAATTACTAAAACTTCTATCTCAGAAAAACAGACCAGAAAAATATCAGCAAGCATTAGAGAAATTTTCAGTGTTTTCGGAGATTTTACCATGCCAACAACGCGTGGCTTAATATCAAATGATTTGAAAAAAATCATGCCAATGGAAATCGTTGTAAAAAAGTTCAACATTTTTTTGTAATTAAGAAAAATTCCATCTCGGAAAAACACACGAGAAACACAACCAACAGCATTAAGCATGCTCTAAATAACTTAATAGCGTTTTTAAACACCAATTGATCGTTTGACAAAAATGCCGAAAAGAAAAATTTGTCATGAAAATATCGACTATTTCTCAATCTCAGAGAAACAGACAAGAAATCTAACCACAAACACTAAAGATGTTTTTTTATATTTTTTTTTCCGAATTTTCATTATGCCAAAACCACGAGTTTAAACATTGATTGAACCAAAAATGAGAAACGCCAAAGAAATTGTATTCATAAAAATATCAATTTTTTTAATTAACGAAAAACTCAATCTCAGAAAAACAGACAAGAAACACAACCACTAGCATTCAACAAGCCTCTATTATTTTTCAAGTTTTTACCATGCAACACGTGGTTAAAAATCAATTGACCAGAAACAAAAAAGGCCGAACAAAATTGTTGTCATACACATAATCAATTGTTTTGAAAATACGAAAAACTCAATCTCAGAGAATCAACTACTAGCATTTAACAACCTTTTAGTTTTTCTGAGTATTCACTAAGCCAACAAGACGCGGTAAGACATCAGTTATTTTCTTGGAATTACGTTAATATATATTTTTTTAGAATTACGCAAAATTCAACATCAGGAAAAAAAGGCGAGAAAAACAAACACTAGCATTAAACAAGTTTTTTGTATTTTCATAGTTTTCACCATGCCAACTAAAATAATTTTTCATAATGAAAAAAAAAGAAATTTCAACAAATCGATTGTTAAGCATACAACTAATATGAAAAGTGCAAAGTCGAGTGTTCAAATTGTGTTTTCCTTGAAATGACCCAAAACAAAGTCATTAGGCCGATAAAAATAAGAACGAAATAAGTTGAGCCGAGGAATTTTTTTGAGCTAAACAGAAAAAAAAGAAAACGCGAAATCGAGGCAAGTAAAATTATAGATTGAAGTAACTCGAACACTAAAAGCAACCTTATGAAACAAAAATGCGCACACCAAGAGAAAGATTTCAAGATGTGACAACTAGGCCGACATAAAATAAGCATCCAAACAATTGGCTGACAATGTTAATTGAAACAAAATTTTTCCCGTTGAAAAAAATAGGTCCTGGTAAGATTCGAACCCAGGACCTTTGCCATCCTAAGCATATTCAATAACTTCAGGCCAAATTGGCCGGCAATGCATAGAAATTTGAATTCATTGACCCAAGATACAAGTTCTTCAAGAGACTCTGTTAAACAAGTTGTTTACCCGAAAAAAAGTTCCAGTTCGATAACGCTTGCTCATTGTTATCGAAATGGATCCCAAAAAAAAACAGAAAAAAAACAACTTCGTAGCACTTAACTAGCTTTTCAAGCATTCATTAAGCAAACAACACGTGGAATGACATCAATTAATTTTGGAAACAAAAAATGATTAAGGAAATATTGTCATGAGAAGTCAACAATTTTCCGGTAAAAAAATCTATCTCAAAAAACACAAACACCCGTATTAAAAGCTTTTAGTAATTTCACAACGTTCACTGGGCGTACAACACGTAACTAGACGCCAATCGATCTGAAAACAGAAAAAAAATGCTGTCATTTTAAATATCAACTTTTTTTGAACTCCACAAAACTCAATTTCAGAAAAACAGACGAAAAACAAACCCTAGCAGTACACACGCTTTTAGTGGTTTCGAAGCGTTCACTAATCAGAAAACATGTGATTAGACCCGATAGATCGGAAAATAAAAGGGGTAAAAACTATTGTTGTCATAAAGACTTCTGCGACTTAAAAATTTAAACTTTTAGCTTTTATGCTAACAATCGACCTGGTTTAATCAATACAAAAAACTATTCAAACTATGCAAAATTTCAATAAAATCACAAAAGTTGAGTCGAAATGAATTAGGACGAATATAATTTTCAAACAAAATTAAAACAAGAAGAAACGGAAAATTCAACAGTCAGGGACTGTGAATTCGAAAAATTACAAGAGCTAACAACGACATTTGAGACTAATAGAAAACTGCCAACAGCAAAAAAAAGTTGTGACATGGCAAAAAAGCCGTCAAACTATGGGGTCCGACCATTCGCAGTCCGATTCACGGAAAAATTCAATTTCAGACTTTGAAAAAACTAGGTCCGGCCGGGACTCTAAACCCAGACCACAGGGTACAAGGCAACCGCAATACTCGGTAGCCAAATAAAAAGGGGCCCAAAAATTGCTAACAAACGATAATCTATCAAAATCAAGTTCAATTAAATGTGTACAAAAATTGTTTACGAGAATCTAATTCCCGATTGCAAGAAACTTGCTCTCCAAAATTTAACTAGAACGCATTTTCTTTTTTCTTGATCTTTAACTTTTGCAGTTCACACTTTACACAATTGTGAAATTTTTTCCTTTTAATAAAAAAAAATGAATATAACTTGAGCCTGATGCCATACGTAAGTTGCAATCAGTTTCTTTTGAAACGTTTCGATGGTTCTGTTGGACAAGTTAATAGCCTAAAAGCCAATAAATCGATTTGATAACGCTTGTTACTTGAAAGCTTAAACATTCATTCTGAAATTTAAAGGAAATTCAGGTTTTTTTTGTGACAATTGTTTTTTTGTTGCCGGAGTGTAGTTTTCCCAAATAGCAAAAAAAAAATTGATCGCGAAATCGTGAAGCCTAAACACAGAGTTGGAAGAGTCAATAAACTCAAGTAAACAGAGAATATACTGACATGTTTTTTGCCGATTCGCACCTTTCCAATTTCAAAGAACCAAATAGATGGCCTTAAAGCTCTTCGAATTTCTAGAACAATTTGTTTGACATTATGTTCGACATTTATGTCAATTTATCTTTGACAATCTGAAAATTAAAATCCACTTCCGAAAATAGAAATCAATCAAACTTTTAACGATCTTTGCACGTTCGCTGTTCGATAGTAGAGTTTTTCTTTTTTTTACACAAGCGAAGTTGCATTTCGCATACACAAGCAACATTATGACCGCTAACGCTACTGCGAAAAACTGAATGATTAAAACTTCGAGTCTACAAAAGTTCGTAAGTGTCCCACGCCAATTATGGGTCTACATAATTTGTAAGAGACGCAAGCCAATTATGATGCATTAGCCGAACCAGTCAATTTGAAAAAAAAACGGACGCAAAGTATAGAGCGGAAAAAATCATTAATCATTAAAAATATCCGACTCTGCCCAGGTTCAAACCCTCTTAATTTATTGCTGGTCTTCTTTTCTAAGCTACAGATCCATGATACCTTGACACGAAGCGCTATTGGTAATATAATAGTCTGTGTTAATAGCCTTAGCATTGGCTGTACTTTATAGCTGGTTATTGATCAAGCTGGTTATTGAGCTGGTATATTATAGTTTATACTATAAGCCAAGCTTTGCTTGTGTAAACCAGGGAAATGAATTGAACTTTAAAAAATCAGAAGTGAAACCGCGATCTATATAAGAGTCTCAACTACATTAATCGACTCGCAAACCTCACCTTGGGTTGAGTTTCGCTAAATATACCCAGGAGGATTGCAATGGTAATAACGGCCTTCAGCACAAATAATAGTAACAATAATAATACTGGGTTGCTCCAATATATGGAAGGACTTCTACGGCCCTTTGAAGTTTCAGTTTTCTAGTCTGTTTCGTTATAGATCCAATAAGGTCCACGTTTGAATGTTGCAGTAGCCGTAACCAGATATAAAGTAGGTCCAGTAAAAGTCTGATAATTCTTTCTTGACGCTTTCTCCAAAAATGTTCACTCGGCTGCCAATTCGTTCATGCAGAAGAACAACTCGGTGCCAAAAATTTTGTTAGCTGGATGGCAGTCGAGCTTTTTGAAGTATGAACGATTCTTTTTGTTCAAGTGTTACTCTGGTGTTTGAATAGAAAATTATCATGCATCTCTCTGTAGCGCAATAAAGGAAGTATTCTAAGGTGCATTAGACGGTCTTTCTACTCGCTGTTTGGGTGTATCCAAGTTGTAACGTGTTTTTGAAATAACTCAATTGAATGAAGCGCACCTTTACGCGGATACCACATCTGCATTCAATATAGTAAGATTGGTATCAAAAGTCCTCGAAGTACGTGTAGTTTGGTATATTAGTTGGTAAGTAGAGATATGTAGAATGAGGCATACGCCTTGTTACACCTTGTGTTTATATGTACATCCCAATTTAGAATATCTGAAAGCTCAATGCCTATACCTTTTTCAAGGCTTTTCTGTTCAAACACGTATGAGTCAAAGCAGAACTCTGTTGTTGGCACCTTTAAAGAGTAAAAATCCGCACTTTTTAATAATAACGCTCATTGAATTGTCTTTGCACTACTTCGATAACTTATCCAGAGTGCAGTGAAGACTCTGTCTTGCACTATTACAAGCCTTTAGATCATCCGCAAATAGTTTACAAGTAGCACTAGTACTTTCAATTAGAGACAGTAGATCATTTATGTAAATGACGAACAAAAGAGACCCAAGTAAAGATCCCTGTGGCACTCCGCTGATTACTTGTATAAATGTGTATAAATAGTGTCAACTGAACTCCTGAAGATTGTCACCTTAAGAAAAACCGAAACAAATACTGGTTTTTCAAACATTTATATAAAGTTTATACACTGATAAGCAATTTTGTATCTGACTTAATAATAGTCCATTCACTATTTTGAGTGCCTTGCCATGTTTTTATTGCCAGTTATTGTCATGTTTTTGAAACGCACAATAAACATCAATTTCTAAAAGCTCTCCCAACTATAATCTACTATAAATAATGTTGCTTACGCTTGTTGACAGATACTGCATCAACTGTGAAATATATCTTTTCTTGTACGTAATCTACTTAATACTCCTTCTAAACTAGAGCAGAAACTATTTAAAATAGTTTTAACACCTTTGCTTTGCAGCGCAAAATGTTTATCAATTTTTCAGTTTGAGTTCAAGTTCATATTTTGGTTGTACTGTTGCTGTGATTGATTATGACCTCGACCAATCAGCGATGAGTATTCGAGTTGTACCAGTGGGTCTCCTGTCACCCACCTACGCGAATTCAAATCATAATCTTGATCCTGGAAGTTGAATGTGACTTGATTTCCTCCTCTTCGTAATACTGAAACGAAAAAATTCTAGTCATACAAGCAAAGCGGACCCTCACTTGCGATACAAAATTTCATGCCACAATTTATTCACAAAAATTTAGTCACTGCTGCAGGAATCTTAAAAGTTCTAGGAACCGTATTACAGGCAAATAAATCATTCAAGAAAACAAGAGCATTTTGTTAATTATTTGTAAGGAAACAAAATCATAAATTAGATAGTTATACAGCGGCGAAGCGGAGCTGTAGATAATTATCTAACATAGCCAATACACCGATGGAAAAGAGTCAATGAATGCAAGCAAAAAAAAAACTTTTTGAAAAAATGCAACTTCAGAAATTCAAAGAAAAAAATGGCCTCAAAGCTCTTTGAAGCTTTAGAAAATTTTATGGTTGTCATGTTTTTGATAAAATTCTCTTTGAGAAAATTGGATCAAAAAGTAAAATTTTTATTTCGCTGGGAAATTCGATAATTAAATTCTACCTTCGAAACTAGAAGTCGATCACGCATTTTTTTAACACTTTTGAAGTTCATAAGTAAAGTTTTCCTTCCTTTTAACAAACTTGATGAAATTTTTATTTCGCTGGGAAATCTGATGCCATTTTCGAAATTAGCAATCAATCATGTTTTTCGTGACCTTTAAATTTTTGCTGTTCGATAGTGAACTTTGCTTGATTTAAGCAAAAAAAATGAAGTGAACTTAAAAAGAAATCAAAAATCAAACATCAAAAAAAATCAATATTTGGCCTGAACAATTTTATAGACTTTTTCCTGAAAAAAAAACAAAAAAAAATCAGCAAGACCTATATAAGAGTACTCACTACGTTCATTACTCTTAAAAATTGAAATTCACAGAGGACTATTCGTATATACAAGAGTTCTTTCACAAATAAAAAAATTGAACAGAAATCGATAAAATCTTTGCGCTTCCAAATAAGTCAAACTCTCAGGCACACATATAACTGATTGATTGATCAGTATGATGTACTCAACCATACGATCAGCTAGATCAGAAAACTTACAATCAGTAGTTGCCATTGACGAATAATAAACTTGACTCTGAGAAGCTGCAGATGCCAAATCGCCCCCTCCTCCCGCGTGAGGTTGCACTCCTACTTGATCGCCGCTTCCCAAAACACGTCTTTGATCTTGGCCTGAGTCCGGAGCGCCTCTTGTAAATTGGGAGTTCGATGAGTTCCGATATAAATGCATTCCTCCTCGGTGAGTGAAAGAGTCTTCTTGATTCGTGAAAGCCGCATTCTGATTGGCCGAGAGGGAGGTGTGTTGAATGGCATAGCGAGATGATGCGTCTTGGTTCAAAGATCTTGCATTTGAAGGTCCGGCTAGTTTGAAACGCAATGAAAATTTAAACGTTATGTAGCTCAACTTGCAACTGAATTATAATTTTCAGAAAAACGGCCATTATTCTCTTTGTTCCGACCATTGAAAATGGAGAGGAACTTTGTATTCGGGTGTGTTTAAGTTTTTTTCTTTTTGTTTTCCACGCAAAATCAGGTACTACAAATTTTCAAAATTGGACATTCTCTAGGGCCATATTTTTTTCAAAGCGCAGGGCATAGCCGCTTGTGCAGGTAAGATTCGCATAACAGGTTTTCTCTTTCGGTTAAACACTTAATCTCCGATTTGGTAGGGCAGTTTTAAAGGAAAATCAAAATTTTTTTAAAAAAATTAAACAATGTCAGAACTGGGCTTGTTTGATCCCCCTACTAAAACTTTCAAAGGCCGTAGAACGTGAGTTAAAGAACAGAGACTAGCGAAATATGCAGTCACATAGAAGAGCAGCCGGGTTTTCCAATGGTACCATTTTTTATAATCGGTACAGTAGTTTTTTGAGAAAATTGAATATTCTGCGAAAATAACAAAAAGTTTCCTCAGCATCGCAAGAAAAAACGAAAAACAAAATATCCCATACCCTTCCATGATACATGTTTTTTTTCTCAAAAAAGAATTAACACTAGCGAAAACTAAAGCAGCAACATATGCCATTAAATAGTTTATGATTAAATAAACTTAACTGACTGAATTGGAAAATACCAAAAGTGCCACCAAATGAGCACTTTCATTTGCGGTTAGATAAAAATCTTCGTAATAATACACCACGCTTCGTTTGTGTAATCATCGCAATGGACCAGCGATATATCATATTGAAGCCCTTTCAGTCGTGATTCAAACGACATTAAAACATTAGAAACTTTTTAGCTTTTTTTTCCAGTTTACCGTTTGTTATTATTTTTTGAAGGCAACTGTAGTCGATTTTGTCTAATATACTTACTTTATTACATTAACGTTCGTTATATGAAAATTGGTCATTTAGTCTAAACACTTGAAAATTGGTCATTTAGTCTTAAACACTTGATTTTTCGATGCTTCACTTAGCGCTTTCTTGACAACATACGTTTTCCAGATAATTTTGTACGAAAAGTAGCAAAAAAGATATAAACTTTTTTTTGGTTTTTTTTCTCATTTTACTGTGTGTTAATATTTTTTGAAGACACAAGTTGTCGATTTTGTCTAATATACTAACTTTGTTATACTAACATTCGCTACATGAAAATTGGTCATTTAGTCTTATACACTTGATTATACAAAACGAAAACTTGTTTTGGATGCTTCACTTAGCGCTTTCTTGGCAACATACGTTTTCCAGATAACTTTGTACGAAAAGTAGCAAAAAATATATACAATTTTGTTGATTTTTTTTTAAGTTTACAGTGTGTTAGTATTTTTGTGGAAGACAACTGTTGTCGGTTCTGCCTAAAATACTAACTTTCTACGCGTGTGAAAAGTTCTCTCATCACATCACGCACAAGAAGTGAACACTAATTTGAAAAACCTTTTTTGGAAGTTTTTTATGAATATGGTGGTCGGAGCACTCTGTGCTACTTGCGCAGCAACCGGCCATTTTATTCTACTTTAAGGCTGCTTTCTGATCATATTTTACCAATCAAGTATTTAATTTGTAATGGTCCAATTCAGTCCTGTTTTACCTTCAATAGCTGATGACGTTGTAGGCGCCTGGGGACAAACATCTACCACTCCGGCCCACACAAGTTGCCTAGAGAGCCAGTCTAGACCATCTTCCAAACCAACTCCGGTTTGCGCATCACATGCCTGGATATGCCACTTTCTACCACAACAGATCTTGTGTAGGTTCAACTCATTGGTTAGAATCTCAACCCCTATTGCGTCTCGTGAGTCCTGTTTGCTAGCCAGCACTAGCAAGATGGCGCTCCTTAGATCTTTCTCCAACATGAGTCGAGACAGCTCACTCTGTGCTTCCGAGAGACGAGACTGATCTGAGCTGTCTACTACGAATATTAGAGCCTGAAAAAACATGAATTGCAAGGAGAGCGAAGAAAAACATAACGGATTATAATCATCTAAATTGATATTTGTATCATAACTCACTCCGCTGTTTAATTTTAGTTATAACAGCACCAATTTGTTTCAGTTAGATTGAGTGAATACTGACAACCCCCGATACTCAAAAAACATTCAGTTACATAACCCTGATTACTGTGATTGCCTAAAAACTGCTATTTTTATCTTTTCCCGCAGCTCAGACGAACTTCACTTTTAGACTACAACTAACATTTCTTTGTGAGAAGACACGATTATTCTTTAGGATAGCTGTTAATCACAAGCAAAATTCCGTTAAATTATAATAATGAGATATAAATTTGAGTGTTCAAGCACAGAAAAAAGCCACTATTCCCTACCTGTGTGTTGAGATAGTAGTGTTTCCACAGTGGCCTCAACTTCGGGTCTCCGCCCACATCCCAGATGTTGAACTGCAGGTTCTTGTACTCCACAGTCTCAACGTTGAAGCCGATGGTGGGCAGAGTAGTGGGCACGAACTCGTTCTGCTTCAATTTGAACAGGATGGATGTCTTGCCTGCATTGTTCAGACCCAACATCACCAGACGCATCTCTATCTTCGGACCTAGCACACATTCAGAGTGTATCGTTAATGCACACACAATCAAAAAAGAGCACACTAGAGGCCATTACATTACCTAGTGTAAGCTTAATGTAGGTTATAAAGTATGCACTTATTGTTCGTGTCATTCGCAGAGTTTTATTGAGCTAGTGGAGCTACAAGTTCAAACAAACCTATGTGGACCCTATTGTCCCTGGTGAATGTGATGGGCACACTGGGATCACATGATGACACATTCACAACAGCTCCATTTCCACCTCCACTATTTGCCCCGTTGGACCCACTGGTGCCGTAAGAATTGGAACTAGATGATCCGCCACTGCTAAGAAGCTCCTGCAGTTGAGACTGTTGCCATTGAGCTGCGTCTACAAGACGACTGATTTCCGACCTGAAAAATGTAGCAAACAGACATTTGGAAAAGTTTCACTCATCTGACAGGAACCGAAAGCATTTTCATAGAAAAAATGTGACATCAAATATCTTTCGTGATTGAAACTTTTAAATATCAACTAACCCAATTTGAGAGAACTGGATCAATAGATCATTTTTTTTTTCGCTGAAAAATCTGAAAATTAAAATCCCATTTTGAAACTGAAAGCCATTCACGGTTTTTCTTGCACCATTTGCAAATCGTAGCAAAGCATCGAAAACCAGCGTATGTGCAACTTTATAATTCACACCTTAGCAAGATCTTGTTCGATGTTCATATCAATTCGTTGAAGTCCTTATACCTTATAAAATTAGCTATACAATTTAGCTTACCTGCGCACAATTAGGTCGACATCGCCCAATGTCGACTGCCTCTTCAGGTCAGTCTCAGTGGAGGTCAGCTGAGAGAGAATCATGGTCAGAGTCTGCATGCTCTGCTGTAGTGCTAGCTTCTTCTCCCTCACATACGTGTTCACTACAGATAGAGCCACTTCCTCTTGGCGCCTTAGATTATGCCGTAAATCCTCAAAATAATCATGCACCTGGCAACAGAAAAAACATCAGCTGCAATTTGAACCAAAAAATGATTAATTGGCGATTGTTTGAGACCGTGTTTTGATTAGATGGATGAAATTTAAATTGCCAACTTTCTTGTAACTTTACTAAAATTTCGAACTATAATAATCTGATCTACAGATTTTTCTGATCAACGTTTACTGCCTCAAATTAAAAAACATCAAACCTGTTGTCTGGCAACTAGCGCTGTTCCCCTCACGTTCGTCAATTGTCCATTAGGCCCCGTTGTGACTCCCGCTGCATTCGCATTTAAATCAGATCCCAAAACACTCATAGAACTTCCTGTCGACGATGGGGATCTAGTAGAGGTTCCTTCTATAAGCTGCATACAGGCGTTCAACTTTCGTATGTAAATGGTCACGTCGTCTGAGAAGTTGTTAATGATATTCAGGCAGCTGGTCAACAACGACTTGATCGAATCTGCTTCATGGATCAATAGGTTGAACTTATGACCTTTGTGGGAACTGAAATCTCTACAAAGATAGCACATCATTGGAAGCTGGAACTGCGAGATCATTTGAGACGACGAGGACTGAGTCGAGGAGTTCGGGGGAATTGAGGTGGGTATCTGGCATGCCGGTTCCAGGCATACTAGCTCTACAGGGTGTCCCGGATGTAACCTGCACTGGGGTCTCTGGCGTGTCGGAGCTTCGCAGATCGGAATTCGCTTATGCTTTGACAGTGTCTTAAACAAATCCGTTTTTAATTAATTTTAGCAGCACAGCGTTTTTCTTATTTGGATTTAGACTCCCAACTAGTTAAATAAATGATAAGCGTGCATATTTGGACTTCCAGAGATAACCATTATCCACAATAACCCCACGGGCACCCACGATGATAGCGGGCACCAACCCGCTCGTAAATAAGTCGAAATAAATACTAACATTGGTAGAATGAATGATTTCTGAGCACTGCTGACATAAATTAGTTGCACAAGTCAAGCAATACAGTGTTGCCACATGAAGTTCGTTCTCATCGCACTTCCGGTTAATTGCAACACTATTAGGACTGAGCTGAGGAGAAACAACTGACTCAGAGTGGGCTCTCAAACGAGCGCTCGAAAAATTTGAATCGACAGTGCAATTCGAAGCATTCCCTCGTCCCTCTATTTGAGAAGAATCAAGAACTTCGAGAAGAGAGAAATTTTTGTTGAGTTCAGCCACACCAGCTGTAAGAGATTAAATCATTGAAGTTTAAATCATTGGAGTAATAGATCAAATTAATGAAGTTATTAAACTTCAATACAATAATCAACAACACAAATGAGCGAACTGGTTATCATGGGATATATTTGTTGGCCGCCTTTATGTTATAAATAACTTCAAAATATCCTTCCACAAACAGGTTCGATCTTTAAAGTTTTTCACAAATGCTCAAAGTCTAGCTGATAATTTAGAAAATTAAAAAACAACTTACCGGGAGGGACAAAAGTTGAGCTACGATCGAAAGGGCAGATGATGTTGTTTGAGGAGGTTCCATTGTCCTCACTCGACAACAGTCTGGAGAGGCAACTTGTACAAAGAGTGTGTCCACACAGCAGCAGTCTAGGCACTCTTTCTCCGGAGGAAGAAAAGCCGTTTTCACAAACTTTGCACCGAGGCGACGCTGAATTCGACATCTTCGATCTCGCTTTCAAAATTTTCACTACAATGATTTCCTTGTCAATCAGTGGTTAATGTCAATCATGTTCATTTCATTCTCCTTATTTGACGCAGCACACTTTTTCATCTCTGAAAATACCCCAAACTTGAAATCAACGGAATAAAACCGAGCGGAAAAAAATAAGAAAGCAAAAAAAATAAAAGCCCAAAATTTTACCGGGAGTTTCAACAAGCTGATTTTGGGTTCCGGTTTATCTCACAGGGGCGAAAGCAAAAATTTGTTGAGGTATTAAACCGAGTCAGAAACTTCACGTCACCATGTGTCAGTCGGTCGTATTTGGGAGGGAAGGAAAGGGGCTCGAGTGTGAACTCGGATAAAATCTGAGGTCACGAAAAAGAAATTTTAACGAAACGAAATATTGTTGTTAATATGCTATGTCTATTATATAAATCAAAAAGGCTGCTTGACAATTTTCTGATTGGATAAGACAAAAGAAATTTTAATCATTAGCTTGCAAAGCGGAAATTTAAGGTGCAGATGTGTGCAGATTTTGATTGCTTTTTAGCGATAATGTGACAATTTTGCATGGTCGTGAATTTTGGGGTGTAGATAAAGTTAAATCTGCTGCAAACTTCTGTAAATGACCACTGGCACTGTATTTTGAGCAACACTCAACATTCTGGGGATTCACTGGCAGACGGTAACGCGCGATGAGGACAACGATCTTGAGTCCGGGGAGTATGTCCCAATCGGTCGTATTTGGAAGTTTGATTTTGAACAGCGCGAAAAACATGATTTTGGTGTGAAATGGAATTTTTCAAAAATTCGAATTGGGCATGTCATGTTCAACTTTCTCGCGACAACTGAAATCTCAGAAAATAAGATCAGAACAACCGAATTACAATCGCAAAAAAAGTATCGAAAAAACAGCGGGAAATTGCTATTCCCAATTTCCAGATATAATAGCATACTAGAGTAGAGCTGTCCTATCTTGGAATAGAAGGCATAACGATTGCGAACCGAAGAGATACCAATAAGAAATGGACCAGAGTGAACCTTCGGTGGAAAGGTGGACAGCCGAAGTCTCCCAATGGTCCAACCCCAAAATTCCATTCTCAAGTTAAAACTCATTGATTTAAAACTTCTCAAGTCATATTTAATTCCATTTATGCTAGAGTCGCTAGTTAATTTAGTTACTCCAATTCTCGAGTGTGCTGGTATGTGAGTACCCCATTTAGTTTTCTTGAGTGCGTTTTATAATTGTTATGTTGAGGTAGGGAGAGTTTCAGGTTGATCCATCTGAAATGGACCAAAGTTCCACCGTCTAATGAAAAGCAACTAAAACGGAATGTTCCGACCACGTTTTCAACGGCGTTCGCGTATTTTAGGTATTTTGAGACCTAAGTGTGGGGACATTCTTGTTTTCTAGAGTGGGGGGTACTTTGTTAGTAGCCTTTAAGCTGTAACGAGGATTTAAGTCTCATGTCGCAAGTGAAACGAATTGGCTCCGACCGTTCGAGGTAGAAAAACACAAGAGATAGTGTCCCTGATCTTGAGCCAATGGTTATAGGGCCTATTTTTCTTGAACCTCATTTATGACTTAAGTAGGCGAATGTTACATAGTGTTTTTATGGCGCTCCTGGGTGTTTTAACGACATCCTGATTACGGAGTCAAACCCACTTGACACAGCTCCGGGCTACATGCCCATTCTGGAGTACCGGTGGTACGGCTAAGCGGGAACGTGTAAACCTTCCGGTTGTACCGTGATAGCTTTTTAAGAAAACTCGAGAAAATTCCTGGTACGCTCTCCGAACGAGGCCTAGCTAACCGAGTGAGGGAGGTAACTAGATGGACAAAAACGAGCAAAAAGACAAAAAGCGAAACAAAAACCAAAAGAGACTAGAAAAAGAAAAAAACCATAAAACAAATGAAAGGACAGTGACTTTGATACCAAATTAGTTGGATCAAACCTTTATATTAAGAAAAATAATATACCCATACTGTTCCCACAAGACCGATCGTTTCGATCAAGTCAGCAATTTTATACAGGTGCCCGATTGTGGGGCGTTGTTAAGGTTTTTCAGATACATTGCAACTTCACTGGACCACAAGGAGACTTGACTGGAAAAGGTGACCAGCCAAGCGGGGAAGCGGTTCACAGGAAGGTGACCCGACAGGTGCTGGAAACACTAGAGGAACATCCAGCAAGGACGAGAACAAACAGAGAATGGCACACAGGGGTGTTCTGTTTGGTCATTCGACGGACCACTAGGAGACTTGATTGGAACAGGTGACCAGTCAAGTGGGAAAGTGGTTTTGGTGAGAGGCGCGGGACACTCCAAGGAGACAACCAGCCCGGAATCAGAACAGCCAGAGTAGGACAGACAGGGGTGTTCCCTTTGGTCAAACGGGTATCGTTAAAATCCACTTTACATTATAGGGGATAAGTGTAAAAATGGATAAGCGGATTCCCACTGTTTGAGGATACGTTTTTACTCAAGCAGAGTGGTTAATGTCAATCATGTTCATTTCATTCTCCTTATTTGACGCAGCACACTTTTTCATCTCTGAAAATACCCCAAACTTGAAATCAACGGAATAAAACCGAGCGGAAAAAAATAAGAAAGCAAAAAAAATAAAAGCCCAAAATTTTACCGGGAGTTTCAACAAGCTGATTTTGGGTTCCGGTTTATCTCACAGGGGCGAAAGCAAAAATTTGTTGAGGTATTAAACCGAGTCAGAAACTTCACGTCACCATGTGTCAGTCGGTCGTATTTGGGAGGGAAGGAAAGGGGCTCGAGTGTGAACTCGGATAAAATCTGAGGTCACGAAAAAGAAATTTTAACGAAACGAAATATTGTTGTTAATATGCTATGTCTATTATATAAATCAAAAAGGCTGCTTGACAATTTTCTGATTGGATAAGACAAAAGAAATTTTAATCATTAGCTTGCAAAGCGGAAATTTAAGGTGCAGATGTGTGCAGATTTTGATTGCTTTTTAGCGATAATGTGACAATTTTGCATGGTCGTGAATTTTGGGGTGTAGATAAAGTTAAATCTGCTGCAAACTTCTGTAAATGACCACTGGCACTGTATTTTGAGCAACACTCAACATTCTGGGGATTCACTGGCAGACGGTAACGCGCGATGAGGACAACGATCTTGAGTCCGGGGAGTATGTCCCAATCGGTCGTATTTGGAAGTTTGATTTTGAACAGCGCGAAAAACATGATTTTGGTGTGAAATGGAATTTTTCAAAAATTCGAATTGGGCATGTCATGTTCAACTTTCTCGCGACAACTGAAATCTCAGAAAATAAGATCAGAACAACCGAATTACAATCGCAAAAAAAGTATCGAAAAAACAGCGGGAAATTGCTATTCCCAATTTCCAGATATAATAGCATACTAGAGTAGAGCTGTCCTATCTTGGAATAGAAGGCATAACGATTGCGAACCGAAGAGATACCAATAAGAAATGGACCAGAGTGAACCTTCGGTGGAAAGGTGGACAGCCGAAGTCTCCCAATGGTCCAACCCCAAAATTCCATTCTCAAGTTAAAACTCATTGATTTAAAACTTCTCAAGTCATATTTAATTCCATTTATGCTAGAGTCGCTAGTTAATTTAGTTACTCCAATTCTCGAGTGTGCTGGTATGTGAGTACCCCATTTAGTTTTCTTGAGTGCGTTTTATAATTGTTATGTTGAGGTAGGGAGAGTTTCAGGTTGATCCATCTGAAATGGACCAAAGTTCCACCGTCTAATGAAAAGCAACTAAAACGGAATGTTCCGACCACGTTTTCAACGGCGTTCGCGTATTTTAGGTATTTTGAGACCTAAGTGTGGGGACATTCTTGTTTTCTAGAGTGGGGGGTACTTTGTTAGTAGCCTTTAAGCTGTAACGAGGATTTAAGTCTCATGTCGCAAGTGAAACGAATTGGCTCCGACCGTTCGAGGTAGAAAAACACAAGAGATAGTGTCCCTGATCTTGAGCCAATGGTTATAGGGCCTATTTTTCTTGAACCTCATTTATGACTTAAGTAGGCGAATGTTACATAGTGTTTTTATGGCGCTCCTGGGTGTTTTAACGACATCCTGATTACGGAGTCAAACCCACTTGACACAGCTCCGGGCTACATGCCCATTCTGGAGTACCGGTGGTACGGCTAAGCGGGAACGTGTAAACCTTCCGGTTGTACCGTGATAGCTTTTTAAGAAAACTCGAGAAAATTCCTGGTACGCTCTCCGAACGAGGCCTAGCTAACCGAGTGAGGGAGGTAACTAGATGGACAAAAACGAGCAAAAAGACAAAAAGCGAAACAAAAACCAAAAGAGACTAGAAAAAGAAAAAAACCATAAAACAAATGAAAGGACAGTGACTTTGATACCAAATTAGTTGGATCAAACCTTTATATTAAGAAAAATAATATACCCATACTGTTCCCACAAGACCGATCGTTTCGATCAAGTCAGCAATTTTATACAGGTGCCCGATTGTGGGGCGTTGTTAAGGTTTTTCAGATACATTGCAACTTCACTGGACCACAAGGAGACTTGACTGGAAAAGGTGACCAGCCAAGCGGGGAAGCGGTTCACAGGAAGGTGACCCGACAGGTGCTGGAAACACTAGAGGAACATCCAGCAAGGACGAGAACAAACAGAGAATGGCACACAGGGGTGTTCTGTTTGGTCATTCGACGGACCACTAGGAGACTTGATTGGAACAGGTGACCAGTCAAGTGGGAAAGTGGTTTTGGTGAGAGGCGCGGGACACTCCAAGGAGACAACCAGCCCGGAATCAGAACAGCCAGAGTAGGACAGACAGGGGTGTTCCCTTTGGTCAAACGGGTATCGTTAAAATCCACTTTACATTATAGGGGATAAGTGTAAAAATGGATAAGCGGATTCCCACTGTTTGAGGATACGTTTTTACTCAAGCAGAGCCTGGAAACAGGTTCTAAGGTTTTCTCTCGAGAAGTTTAGCACCCATCGCGCTTAAGGTAATTTTCGGCTTAAGAGGGGGGCTAAACAGGGGGGAGGTTAGAAGGGGGGCTGGTTAGGTTAGAGGTTGGCGGTTGCAAATTGTAAAAAGGAGCACACGTTGCAGTAACTAATCAATC